TGCGCTGCCATCTCGCTGCGCTCACGCAGAGGTCGTCATCGAGGCAGAGAGAACATCCATGCCGATGCCCAAAGCAGATGCTCTTCTCTCGGCGGGTGATTTTAAGAGCGCGTTGGATAAAGTTCCGGCGGGAACTTTCAACCCACGCACCGTGGCATCCATGCGCGCACGCGCTGACCAGGCGGCGAAAGAAGGCCTGCCGTTGCTTGTCCGCGTCGGGAACACGAAGTACTTTGCGGTGAGGGACGGCCAGAAGTTCAACCGCACCGTGATTGGAGAGTGGGGGCACGTGAAGTACGACCAGCGCGGGAGCAAAGTATTCCAGTGCAAGGTGGGTGAAGATTCAGGATAAGTGTGCGGTGGTGTAATGGCAGCAGGGTTGAGGTGCGTCAGGGTACCTCGTTGTGGTTAGGTCAACCGCGGATCCGACAGGAGTGATGACGCTGTTGCACAAAAAAAAGTTGCTTGAGGTGATGAGCCCAAGAGCGCCAACACCAAAAAAGTTTACGGCACTGATCGCGATAATATTGCAGGGCGTGCGACGTAGCACATACCCATTGTGACCGGACTGTGGGAATGGGCATGAAGTATGCGGGCGTGTTTGCCGAATGATGGATCCAAACGCATCCGGAGGTTCCGACACCTTCAGTCCTGGAGACACGACCACTCGTCCCTCCCTCCAGCGCACCTCAAGGCCTGACTCAATGACTGCTGATTTTTTTTTGACCTCTCGGTTTTTCTAATGCTGGCCTTTGATGAAGGCGAGCAACGGCAGCCCGTGCAGCGACAGTTCGTCGAGGAAAAGTACCGGCCGTTGTGTTCACGCCGCCATCGTTGCGGTGTACATTTACGACCGGTACAAGTCCGGCGTTGCGGGGGAAGAGCTGGAGCTGGAGCGTGATGGCGACATGGACGGCATGGAGTTCGGGCCAGAGGGGGAGGGGTGGGGGGCTGAAGACACCATCGGTGGTTGCACGGGGTTCGCATCGTACACTCAGCATGAAAATCCTCTGTACTTCGGAGAAGAGATGGCTCAGCACAGAGTGATCACGGCTGTCTACAAGTTCCCCGTGGCTGAGCCTGAGCTCAAGCCAGGAACGTACGGGCGCAAAAGGATTCACGTCAACGCATGCTTTTGCACAGGTTGCGGACAGAAGTACCAAGAACTTCCCGACGGCGAAGCAACCCTTCTCGGCCAGGTGGGTGATGGTGTGGAGCAGCAGAAGTGGGGTCAACATTGATTTCCTCTGAGAGAAGTGTACGCTGCCGCAACGTGGTCTTTCCACTCTGGAAAACAACGGCGTGAAACAGAGGGTAGCTTGGTCAACATTTTCCATGTGATCAGCGAGTATTTGCCTCCTTTATCATCTGTAGTTTTTTAGGGACAGGTCGTTGAAATCCGTCAGGGTTAGGATTGGCTTGTGCGCGGGCAGGAGTAGTGGACCGGCAGCTACATACGACACTGACCATTCATTTGCACCTCTATATTGGTTTTGCAGCGGACAAACGGGGGGGCAGAACTGCGAGTGGTGAAGGTCGAGCGGAAGGATGCAAGAGGTGCAAGCTGATCGGATGGGCGGGCGACGATATCTATGCGGACGGCGTGTTCAACTACAACAACAATGTTGTGCTTGCACTTCCTCTCCTGTACACCATCCGTAGGGCGGTCAGTGCCGGTACAGCTGTATCAACCTGGGTGAGGACCTTCCTCAGGCCCCTGCTGGATGACCTGACATGGCTGGACGCCTCGAACGAAAACCGCGCATTGGCTTCACGGTGAGTGATACTCGGCGATTGTGTATTTGTTTGTTGGGGAAATAGGAAGCTGAGTTTCTCGAGCGTTCTCCTGCGGGGACACCTGTCCGGCAAACAGAACTTAGAGGTCGGCTTGTAGACGTTTACGGAATTCTCGAGCTCTGCACGCTCTTTGCGTACACATTCCAATTACCCAATGTCCAAA